AAACATACTTTACGGGGCAATATAAATAAAAAATAAAATCTAGGTTACTAAAATATGTCTAAACAAATTTAAGTACTTTGTTTATGCTAAACTAAAATAGATAAATTCGGTGTGTACAGGTTTTCAAATTGAACTAGACCCCAAGTGCACTGTTAGATAGGCACAGGGCTTCTAGATGTTGTCCTGTTTACATCATGACGTCATAATCTATAAATAGAATTTTTGACCGAATTTCGGGAGATGATCTAGAACATTCTATCTGGAACAAAACCTTAACTTTGTGGATTTCAGCTTCCAAATTTCAGTTGTTTCGGACTTAGAGACGAATCCCTTCAGTTTCCATTCATATACGTGGAATTATACAGTGTGAATTTCTACAGTGAATATTATATTCTGGCAAATTCTCCTAACAATCTCAAATCTAAAAATAGATTTGTTGTTTTCTATTGGTTGACTGATTTATGACGTCACGAATAAATGATAGAAACCTGTTTTGATTGGTTTGAGCTGAAAACCGCACGTGACATATCAGAGCTTTGTCAGAAAACCAAAACAAACCAGCATTGCTACTGAATTAAGCAACAGTATAAATTGTTTTTTCTTGAGAAAAACTTGGATATTTTATCATCTAGAGATATAGCAATAAAGGATTACCATATTGAAATACTCTGGAATAAAACTAAGCATAGTAGAAGGTAAGTCCAATGATTTTGATGCTGTGAATTACGAATTTTGACATGTAAACAAAGATATATCTGCCATATCTTCATATGGGTTATATAACAATTTTTGACAGTTCCACCAAAAAATTGGTAAGGGGTTAAAACGGGTATAGATCGTTAAGAAAATGACTGACAGTTTAATTTTGTGGTTTTCTTTGCGGTTTCTGCACAGAAATGTCACCACAGCTGATTTTGTTGTTATTATTTTGGGATGAATCAACATTGACCTAGATGACCTAGTAAACAGCTCTACCAGTCGTCAGTGGGTAGAGTCTTGTAACTACTGAATCATGCTCATTTTAACTTTATACTTGGGATGGTTCACATGTCGAACGAAATCTCAAGTCATCGTTATAGAAAATAATTTTGTTTTTTTACAGTTCCGATTTATACTTTGGGGATTTTATTACTTGACCGATTTTTGGATTATGAATTTTTAGTGAGACATAGGAATAGTTTTTGAATTCGAGGAGTTTTTTTTCCTTTGGATCTTTACTCGTTGTCTATTATATGGAGAAAAATATTGGAATGATTTCACGGCCTTCATTAGAACAAATGTTAGGCACAATGCCAAGGTGAGAGAAATAGACAACAAATCTTGGCAACTGCTAACAAACGGCACGTGGTAGTGACCAACTTTCTGTCTCGAACAACCAGTCATGTGTTCTATTTACTGGCTCTACAAATCACTGGAATGATCGAGATTGTTCAGTCTTACTTTGAGACACGTGCATTTGTGCACATGTAAAATTAAAACAAAACTCAAAAATTCGATAATTTTTCAAAATCAATGAAATTTGATTCACATGAAACGTTTTCATAACTTGTCAATCTGAATAGACGGCGCATTTCATTTCATTTTCGAATTGGAACAGTCTGTCAGTTTTTGCTACGGACTACAAAAAATAACTTTTTTCCCGCCATTATTATTTCCCCCTTCAGTTTCCCGCGGGATCTGGAGGTCGTTGACGAGCTTCAAGGTCAAGCGTTCGACTCTTGGTTTTGACAGGAAACCTTTGTCTGCACTTCTTTTTAAAAGGGTTGAAATTTTTATTTTTTAACTTCCAAGCCATTATATAGCTCTCTCTTTTTCCATCATTCTATTTTTTACAACTAATTCTGTCTTCTTCCAGCACTCAAGCATATACCAGCCTTCATCAATTGTTGAGAAGGAACAGTACCCCAAACTACTACCAGAGTTCACCGGTGTCTTCTAGTTACTGCAGGAGAGGTGTGACCAGAAGCACCAGTATACCACCCTACAGGAATAACTCATTTCAAATGACAGTCAATACATTAGCGAAGGTAAGACCCATATTTCATCAGATTAGCCTATCATATTTTTATTTCTTTAGAAACTGGACAGTGGGTATAGGGTAAAGCTATGCATAGTACAGCAAAGAAGGGGGGGGGGGGTTTAGAGTGTTTGACTGAAAACTTTTATTTCATTAGATACTTGGTAACATGAAGCATGGCCGAAATAAATTGACTGAAGAAACTCTACTTTTATCTAACTGGCCCAGAAAATGATAAAAAAAAATTGACCTCTTTCTAAAAATTATTAGTTAGGAGACCCTGTTTATGATGCAATTTAGAGTGTCCTGAATATGGACTTGAAGGTGTTATGGGGTCACCTCCTCAAGGACATTAATTTGACTTCAGGATTAGGACTGGAGCCAATCAAGTATAACAAACGAAGTGTATTGACCTGGGTCATATAAGATATTACATCATTCTGTCATGGATTCATTGAGTGCATTCTTTCTCGGTGTAGGGTAGATGACTTTCTTCTGGAGGTATTTATAGGGATGTGACTAAATTACAATCTGAGTCTTATATGGAGTGAAAGGTGTAGTACAAGTCTTATTAAGAAATTCTGAGTTGTCTTTAACAGTGGTCTGATTCTCATATACATGAACATGGTAGGAGTTGTCTTATCATTGGTGTCAGTCTTAAAAAAAAAAATTGAGTTGGACCTCGTTGTCTTTGAATTTTCTGATTTATATTTGTTTGGTTTGCATTAAACAAGACAAATCAGCTGAGAATTGTATATTGATGACATTGGATATTGGCAGGTCATTCTTCCTTCGTAATGCTGAGAATTCATATTGATTCCAGATTTTAGAGCACTCTCATCTTGCATTCAGTTGCTTCTCTCGCTTTTCTCTTAAGTTATGTTTCTTGAATATTTGAAACATTGATATCAATTCCCAAACCACCTGCACTGATGAAGGATTCAATATCCAAAACATGTGTTGGCAGCATTGATATGAGTTTTGTCATCGTAGGAAGGGTCAAATTGTTTACTTTGAATGCAAGGTTTATGATAAGCTGAAGTTTTATCCCATTGTGGGTGGGGATTTGAACAGCTGGGGGGTGAAATATTGATTCAGGTGAGGGTTAAGGATTAGTTTTAGCATATGTCTAATCTCTACTAGCCATTAGCTCCTGTTCAATAAGCTTACATACTTTGAAATATCTCAGTTTGTGTCCAGCCACAGCTAAGAAGGGGAGGGGGAGGGCTTGACAAATTTGGATGATTTGAATGACTTGCTGTGTCACATAGTTGAGGCCCCTTAAAAACAATTTGCCCTTTCTGACTCCCTTAGCTAGCTATGGTATGTGTATGAGATGAAAGATTAGAATATGATTGAGCCTACATCTCTGATAGTTTTAATGAATAAGAAGTCCACTAGAGATTTTGCTAAAGGGAGAGGGCATGCTCATCCTTCTGGAACACCTGATGTTTGTCTCTGATTGGTTTTTCAACATGTCACTTGTTTTTGTGAATCTACGCTATTATTATCTGATATGTTTATAGAACAGCTCTAATGTCGTTGTCCAATGTATACTTTAATACACTTTATAAGACTTCATATTAGAAATTTAACCTCCATTTCAACTCATTGTGGACAAAATGAAATTAGGTTTAGTTAATTAAACGAGGTCAAAAAGATGAAGTTGGTCAAGGTTTCAACATTAACTTGTCAACTAGTTTGTTGTCTCTTACAAAGACAAAATTATCTTGACAGTTATTTGATAGATAGAATCTCCTACACTCTGATGGAAGAAAGTGCTAGGCAAACTCCTTACATCTTCCTCACCTCCCTCCCTCATGGTTCAGTTTCAAAATGAAATAAATTAGTCAAATGCAATGACTTTTAGCTTGTCATCTGTCAAAATAAGTAGGTCACAAAATGGATGACAACCGTCAGTCATGAAATATTTGTGGGAAGGACATTGTTTAAATATTAGACATGTTTCAGTTTACCTTCCTTAATTAAATACTTTTAGAAATGATATCAGCAAAATATAACTTGATTATTTTCTCCTACTATAAAGTAAATATTGGACTACAGTAAGCTTAGAAAAGCAGCTATTACTATTTCACAAAAGCTCTTTATTACTTTTATTTGAAATAGGATTTTTATTCACTCCCTGATCATTTGCCTTCATGGTTTGCCAACTCGCAGACCCATATTAGCTCAAAGACTTCATGCATAAGTCTTATTTAACATTAAGTTAATTTTTTGACTTTTTTTTTTCGAAAAACTAGATGTGACCAATCAGTGGCCTTGTTATAAAATGATTCAACCTTGATGGTGACTAATCAGAAAAGTTGTTGCATAAGTCAGCATAGCCTTGACTAATCAAAGAATTGGTTACAAAACTGAATCATCAATCAAAAGTCATGCAATGTCGTCTTAGTCTACAGCAATTTAGCTAAAATACTGTCACGCAAGAATCCATAAAAAAAACCCAGAAAATGAGCGGCAAGGTCTCGTGGAATGTCAGATGACATTGATTAAGCAGTTTGTTTTTCTTGCTTTATCATTGACCTTGAAATTTTGTGGAAAATCACACGAAATTGCTACAATTAAATTGATTGTTCTATTAAAGAAAGGAAAATTAAACTTGAAGTTCGTTAATGGATGCGGAAGGTCGAATTGTTTGTTCTATCATAAGTTCGAGTGCTGCGAGGATGATTCTGGAAATTGCCAGAGGAATCTGGAAACCTTTGATTAATGCCGCAGAACGCTATCTTATGAATGAACACCCCCACACGAACGTAATCATATATATTTTTACTTGAAGTGTGACATAGTATTTTTCATTCTTCGTTCAACAATAACATTACTATTAGTGAATAACAAGTATGTTTTCTTCAAAGATGCTCTAGGCATTTATTTTAACATATATTTCACAAAATCTCACCATGATCACTTAGAATGCTTAAGACAGTGAACGTGTCCACTCGGCACTGGGATTTCTGTAAACATGAATTTCTGGAGTTATCTCTTGTACTGGAAGGTTTGTTTACATTTCTTTTGAAATTTTCTCTGAGAATCTGAAGCAACTTTTTTCAACTTCATCATTTTTGGAGAAGTCAATTTTTATTAAATTGTTAAATGAAGATCGATAGTTCCGATGTTTCTCTCTGTCAAGATGGGATAGTTTCTTGCATGGTGGTAAGTTTTCACATTTTCAGAGAAGTGATTTTTCGTTGAATTCTTGTACAAAAAGGGATGACGGAGATTTAAGCACATGTCACATGACTAGACAGGATGCTAATGACATGATTGGATAGTTATTTGGTATGCCTTTGTTAAAAAGACTTCTCAGAGATGCAATCTCCAAATGCAGGAATTCTCAGAGCTGACAAGATGAATTAAATAGTGTTGCATCTGGATTATTGTTTTGTAGATGCATCCCCATAGTTTTTGTATTTGGATATATAAGTATTTTGTGTGGATATGTGACTAATATTGCACCACAGGTTATACTGAGCGCTATGGCTCAAGCAACAGATCCAATTGGTATGCATTTGGGTCTAATAAAAGAAGATTGGGCTCCTGTCAGCTGTTTTGGATCTAATAAGCTTGCAGTTAGGTCTTTTCATACAGTTGTTTGATCCATCAACTGTTTTGGGATTTTTGCTGGCATTAGGATCATTTTTTGATTGAATATTGAATATATGTTTGTAAATTTTGAGAGGAAATCTTATGTACAGCATTGGGCATTTGTTTAAGTTTCCACTTCCAAAAGTTGTGTTCAATTGGAACTTTTAAACCAGTAGGGGATAGTTATTTTATTTTCTGATGACATGATTTAGGAGCTTAGTTCTATTTCTGTGATAAAGAGTTCAATAATGCTACATGTTCCTTTAGCAATGGTGGATATTATCCATAATGAATGATATCTGACGTTACTAAGGAAACAGTGCTGTGAATAGGCTTGATAGATATTGTTTTTGGAAGGTGTTAATCTGAACATCCTGTTTTATTGGTGTATTTGTGTCAATTTCCTGTTTTAGAAAGCAATAAGTATTTACTTCAGGATGTTGTTGTTGATTGTCAAATTTCAAGGATTTTTGTTTTTAATTTATTTTGTCGAAGCAGGAATTGGTCCAATCAGGAAGCAGGATATTGTATGGACTGACGTTGATTTGTAGGTTGGAGTTCCAAACAGGATAGCTGAATATGACTCCCTGTCTTCAAGTACGTGTATCGATTCAGTTCCTGAACTCTACATATATATATCGATTCCATAGACAGAATATGTTGTAGATTGAAGAGTTTGATTCCAACAGAATTTAATGTCCAGTGATAATAGGGAAATCCCCTGCTTGTAAAATAGGAAGGGTCAAGGGTTTGAAGTATTGTCAAAAGGGAATTCCCACTATTTAGGTAGGGATTGCCCATTCAGGGATATTCCTAAAAGGTAGTGAACCAGGAATACATGACTTCAGTCAAGAAAACCCCGATCCTTTAAATATGAAATTAACTGAGCTTCCTGGCTGTTATACAGGTCTTTTGTAAATGTGGGAATTCCCCTTGAAAATGAAATTCAATAGACTGTTTCACCAGAGCATGACATAGGTAATTTATTATATCTAAGATCTATTTATAGTATCACAAAGTGACAAATCTTCTATATAAGGCTTATTACTGTGGGTATTACTTATTACTTTAGAAAAGATTTTCTTAAATTAAATTTCAGGTATTTAAATCTCAGTTTATGTAGACTACATGATGTTTGAATTTATTTTGTGTAAGGGTAGGAATTAGTTTGTTTTAGATTGTCATTTGTTCTTTTTATTAGAATCAATGTGAACGTGATTTTTGTCAGGCGTTAGGCGTTTCTTAGATTACAAGATTGATGATCCAAATTTTTTTTTTTTTAATTGAAATGTTCATTGCAGTTTCTTAATTATGGGGGTTGGTATTTCACAAAATTTGCGTTATTTGTCTGTTTGATGCACCGATTAATCTTTTTTGAAATCAGTATGAAAGGAAGAAGCAGGAAATTTATAATCAAAATGTCAATTGTTCTTTGATTGTCTTGTGTTAACCACATGCGATGCATTCATCCATCAAATAGTTTTCAGTATTACGATACTTCCTAGTATATGGTTGTATATATTCTGTCTTGCATGCAAAATTTGTTTCAATCGAACAGGTCTGATCTACTATATTGATGGTTATATAACAACAGGCTACTTTCTTAAACATGAATCTTAATATCATTTAAAAAAAAAACATGAAAGATGATAAAGCAATTTAGAAACAAATTCAAAACAGTTAAATAACTAAAAGGCCTTCAAACTTACGGCTTTTATAATCAAATTGATTTATTTTTTAAAATCAAAATGAGTTATATAAATGTACTCAATTTAAAAGTACGTTGTTTTATTTTTCAGGCCAAGTTAAGTGGGAATATGGATCTATTTGGTCCCGATTTTTTATATTCACCAGGCTCCGATCATGTCTTGCCTAATGGTGAATTACCAATGTATGCCGCCAGCCCGAATTCATTATATTTATATGAACAAGAGAGACATGATATGCAACATTTGGGAAATACTCAGTGTTATAACAGCCCCCAATCTCATCTTAAAAAAGAAAATATTTTCAGTTGTGAGGATTTTGATTTGAATCCACAATACGAGGCAAATTTAGAATTGCCAAACAACTCCATTACTGACACTGACGTGCAACAAAATTTCACAGCATTTTCAGCTCAGAGTCAAAATGGCCGAAATTCCAATCCGACATTAACTGAACTCAATATGGGAAGTGAATCCGAATCATTCTTGGAAGATTTAGAAGCTGTGATACCCAAAACTCCGTCATTTTCAAACTCATTACCGACATTTTCCAGCGTCTCCCAACAAAATAACACTTTTACCACTCTAACAACCAGAACGCATGATTCATTTGCGAATAACAATTATGGTTTAAAAACAATTTCTTCGTGGCCATCTTGGAACAGACAGTGTGAGGCTGATCGAAGCAAATCGATACAGAATATTAAAACAGCCCTTCAAAATTCTAAATCCTTGCCCCTGACTCATACAGTTACCAGCAACTCCACACACAGCAGTTCATATTCCGAAGACAACAAATCACGATTACAGAAATTATTGATGGCCGACGATGACTCACCAGCGATGAGCGTGGTTGGAATGAAGCGCCCTCTGATGTCAATAAAAGAAGAAAAAGATGATGACTCCGTTGAAGAAAAATGGAAAGAAATCGAAAAATATATTCACGATGATGAAGAATCACGACCAACCAGAGAAAAACGAAAAAGATTTGGTAAGTTCGATATTTTTATTTTGCTTCAGCTACTTGCCATCCCTCTATCTTTAGTGAACTCATCCACTCATGCTTAATTTCAAGCTCTATATGTAGTGCTAATGGAGAGTTCATTAAAGAGATAGTGGATGTATGCTGTCATATCCATGCTTATCCAGCTTTGATTTTTCATTGTCGGGGTAAAGTGGATAGGAAAGGCCAACAATGAATAATATGCTGAGTTTGAGTTGATTTTGAAGAGAAATTTAAGATAAAATAAAAAGAGTACCTCTGACCTTTATGAGCTAGATTTTTTAGGTTATTGCGATGATGTTCAAATATTTTAGTGTCAAAATTAAAAAAGTAATTATTTAATAACAAAATATGTTTATTTTGGTTATCATTACTAATAGGACAAATATAAAAACCTGTTTCAATTGACAATTTTCTGGATAAAATCAGAATCAGCTGATTACTATCTGAGTCTATACATTTCTCTAATTCTAAAGAATAATAATGACAAGCTTATTTATAAGATTTAAATTTTTGAGAAAATTTTCCTTAATTTTGTGGAAAAATTTTCCATCATGTAGAAAGGATTAAATCTAAAAACATCTAAACATCTATCAGAACTATTGATCTAAATTTGTTAATATTGGATATATTGTCCCTGAATAGCTTGAATAATGAGTTGAATACAAGGCCCAAAGAGTTTTCGATGAGTAAGCCATTTAGTGCTTAATTAAACATAAAAAATTATGATTCTGCATCACTTAGTCATTCATTCATATTACAAAAATGTTGATTCACTGAATTCAGAAATAGTATATCATATATCTTGAAGTTCTTGAGGAAATATAAAGTTAGTGAATCTATTAATATAATGATGAATAGGCCAATATAGGATTTTATTATGAATATGATATGGAGCATTACACCATTCTATAATGAATAAGATAAAGCTGTAATAGAGGTCAATAATTGATTACCTGTATGTTATATAGTGGTGTATTGGTATTACTGTACTTGTACTTAGTGTATGACAGGATGTTAACACTGAGACAGGTTATTTACCTTAGAGTACTCTAGGCAACATTGTTACAACGGTCAGCATAATAACAGCTAGACAAGTGTTCCAAGACACAATACTGTATGAACTAGCAGTAAGGCATATTTAACAAGTCCTGCTTATGCATCATTTATAATAATGAATGACTTTTGATCGGTTTTCTGTCATATACGATATTAAAATAAACAGTCAGATTCGATCAATACTGAAGTATCAGTATGCAATATGCAGTTATATGGCACAGTCTGATTGAAACGTTCATTAGTCTTGGACTTGTCCTTAGTTACATAGGTAATATCAACTAATTAAGATGTTTACATAGGGTATCTATTAGTCTTAGTGTACTTAGTATTAGTAATGTTATAAATAGTAGATATTTGACTCTAGACAGGTGGTTTTCCTTTAAGTGCCAAAGGTTAACAGACACAGGTGTCAATCGACTTGTACTAATGTAATCTGTAGATAATACTAATACACATATGATTTAGGACATGTAGTTGATATGGGTTGAGAACTCACACAGGCTAACTTTCGGAAGCACGGGCCAAGGCGTCTGATAATTGCCCAATTTCTACTGACTAAGCTTTCCACTGCCACATGTAGGTGTTATCACAGTGCAGAACGTTTTAATAATTTCTTAGTGTACAAAGTTAATAACTGATTTTATATATTGTATTCCTTTGTCTAGAGATTGGTGACTAATATCATAGAACCATGGACAATAACAGAAGCTATATTGGTTTTCAGTTGTGTCATTACTTAAAAAGCAAATTCAAAATTGTGTTAGATACATGCCGAAGATTATGCTAAGAGGTCACTAACACATGATTTGAGTATATATAGATAGTTAATAGGACCTTCAGATATCTTAAAACAAAATAACAATTGTCTAAGGACATGTAGGTGATACACGTGGATCTAGGTTACCAACAACAATCAACATGAGTTTACCAAAACAATTTAGTAGATAATGCCCATTTGTCTTAGGACACATAAGTTTCTCAGTTAGCAACGAGGCTTTTAAAAATTTATATAAAATCCATTTGTCTTACTACCATTTGGATATCTCAGTTAGGTTCGAGTACGCCCAGAGGCATTTAAAACCTTAATGTTAAATTCATTTGTCTTCTTAGACAATAGATATATATAGAGCTCTCTAGGATATGAAATCAAAATAAGTCAAACTTAGCAGAATTTCAAATATATAAATCGAAATTTGGTAACAAATTGGGACCTTGAGCAGATAAAATGACATTTTGAAAACATTTGAAAATCAAAGCATAGAAAACAGAGATTAAGAAAAAAATGATGAATTAGTAATATCAGAAATGTGTAGAACTTCAAGTGTATTGAGGTAAATGGATAATGCTAATGGAATATTGGACTGGGAGGCTATAGCTATATTGATATCCCAGTGTAGAAAGGTTACTAGTGTAATAACCTACCTATATATTATACCATCTATTACACAGAGGAAATAGAAAATTATTAAATAGTCATCAAAACATTAAAATACAAATTAATGATAGATATTACTCTACTCTACTGTACTGTACTCGATAAGGTTATGAATTATGAATGAATAGCTAGAGATTTGTTGTTAGTTGTAATACTAACATAATGTTGATAACACCTTAGTAATAAACCTAACATCCAATTTGCTTAATTAATATTTACTTTATTCACATTATATGCTTTCTGGGATTTTTCTTTATAAGAATTTATACAATTTTTCTGAATTGTTTGCAGTATTTAAGCTTTAATGAACAGTTTCTTATTTCATATATTAAAGTTGTGAATTTTTTTCACTGTTTGCACAGAAAAACTCAAATTTATCATTAATTCTGTAAGTGAATCACCTTCATAGCGTTACATGAATTGTATCAGAGTTTTCTATTTACTATGTACTCCAATGTACTAACTCTTAAGTACAAAAAGTTCAAGACACGTGATATTAAGAATTCAGACAAGTAAAAACTAGAGCAATCAGCTGACTGGAGTTGAACACTATAGTCCATTCTTGATCCCATTCATATAGAAAGATATTATGTATGTATTCTAGAATATGATAAGATACCAAGTGCAGAAAGGGCATAGCTATGTTGTTTTGAGGTAAACAATGTGCAACTTTTAGAACAGTGAATGGTTGACTACTTGAATCCTTTTCGTTAATTTATCTTTGTCCATTTTTTTATTAGGTTATTTATTGATTGTCTGAATTCAGTACATTATTCACTATTTTTGGAGTTAAAGCCCAGATTTTCTATAAGTGCTTGAATACTTGAATACGTACAACTAAAAAAATAGTAAAGCTAAAACAGGAGATATAGTTTAGGACTTGACATAAGGCAGACACAAATTCTTCTTCTTTTTTTGAAAGAATCTCCAATCCTGCACAAAATATCATAGGGCCCAAAAATTATTAGTCAGCTGTCTCAAAAACAGATATATAAATCGCCCAATCTCCTACTAGTAATAAATGGAGGTCACATTGAAATTTTAAAATATGAGTGTACATAGGCTCAAAATTTTGGGTATTGTGTAATACTTGTCACTTGAATAGTCATTTTTCAAATCTTAATCATGAAGCATGAATGCTACGCCCTGTTTTCATCTTGGGCAATATGATTCAACCTATTATAGTTATTTTATCAACCGGGTAATAATTCAACTACACTCATAAACACACCCTTGCCCAAATTCAGGTAAAAAGATAAGTTTTGATAGAGACATTGAAAGATATAGAAGTTAGGTTTGCCTTTTTCAAAACATATTTGAGATCTATGGATTGAGAAGTTAAAATTAACGTTAAGACAATTTTCTCTTAAAAATGTTTGTTTTTCAGTTTGAGATATTTTGACATGTAGAACTGTATCAATTGTTTTTGGTACTGTAAAATGTTGAACAAAACAAAGATTATCAGTTGAGATTGCCATAGAAATTGACATAAATCACAGTTTAATATTGAATCGAAAAAAATACCTAAGGATAATTTGTGATTGAAAAACAATTTAAAATTGAAAGTTGTAAATTATTGTCAATTGTAGCTAATCTTGTTGTTTGAGAAAATTTTGTCAAGGACGAATTTTGTTTTGTTTTAAAAAATCGTCCTTCAACTTGAAATTCTGATTAAAACTACAACTGAGCGACTAACGTGACAGATATATATATGTAAATAAATATACAGCCAATGTCAAGGTCAAGGGCGATGTAACACAGTCTCTGGAACTTTCTATTGATTCTGGATTCTGGCCAATGTTAGTTATGTCATTCATGTTTGAAATATCAAAATACCAAACGTGAACACTCGATGCCACTAGGTTAAAAACTTGAAATGTCATTACTGAAGATTTCATATTAAAATGGTGTATGTCAATAGTCTGTAAAATTGTAAAATATGGCAAAATTTAAAATGGTCTTAAAATATTCAAAAGGTCTTGGGAAATATTGATTTATTTGAATAGATAAATGAATGAATAAATGAATGAATGAATGAATGAATGAATGAATGAATAATACAATAACATATTGTAATATAAGGTCATTAATCCTTAAGCAACATATAGTGATAGAGATCACACTAACAATATTCACGGATTATGTTCTGTTGTTTACTATAGTGAGATGTGAGATGTAATATATATGATTTAAAATATGAATGAATAATTACATGAATGAATCCATCTATAGATAAAAGTCTATAGGATATAAACCAAACAAAAATAAGTAAGCCTAACTTATGGAACATATGGTTAAAAACTAAACAGTACAGTAACCTAGAAAATAGCCTTTGATGTTAAATGTACATGAGATATTGAAACTAAAACAAAAAATCATATCCTATTTTTAAAACCATCCTAAATTTTAACATCCAATGGAATAGGTTAAAGATTGGTGATATCATAGTTTCTTTCATTGACTCAGGATGGGCCAAAGTTTAATAGTACAATCTTTTGTTTAATTGTATGCCTCGTGGCTAGATGCACTTACTAATAGATCATGGCATTTCTCACACTGTTTCAAGGTATATCCTATCATAATTATTATAATCATTCAATTTTATATTGTTCTATCGTATTGATTATTGATTGGATTGTTTTTATTTGATATTTTCCTGATTAAAGAATTAAATGTTATTCACCTCTTTGGGTCAGTCAGTACTCTTCCTTATACATTCAATGATAATAATTTTATGAGTAATTTCTTTAATATTTCTACTTTTGGTTTAGATCTTAAAATTTTTGTGAGGGCGTGAATAAGAATGAGGGTGGTGGAATGGGTTCATTAACCATTGGAAAATTAACTTTAATTAATTACTCAACCATCAAATTTTTTTCTTTTCTCATTATCTTGCTTTGTGAACAGTAAAATGTTTTTTTTTTCATATATATCTGTTTTAATTAAAATTTGACCTCAAGAATTTTGAGGTTGTGGTATATTTTGAGGTTGTGGTATATTTTGAGGTTTATTTATTTAAAGATGTATTGTCTTTATTTCAGATTCTGAAAGTTCTATGACAGGATCCTTTGATGATTCTAATGAGGATGATGATAGCAGCGATGAAGAATTTTCAGATGGAGGTATGTATCTTTTTTCCTGAAATTCTTTTGGGGATACTGTTCTTTGAATTTTCTTGTGGTGATGTCAAGGACCAAATGTTTTATTAAATTCGATTTGTTAATCAAATTTTATTTTATAAACCAAAGTTTATTCATTTAAGAAATGAATGGGTGATAGACTTTTATAATAAATGAATAAATAATATATCCATACAAATATGTACAATAAATTTTTCTTGCCATATATTATACTTAATACACCTTATTTATATGAAATTATTTTGTCTTTTCAGAGATGGACATGTCCCATCTGAACAACACATCAGTTTTAGAAGACGGAAAAAAAGGAGAGAAGTTTTTCTGGCAGTACAATGTTCAATCTAAAGGTCCGAAAGGAACCAAATTGAAACTTCATTTGGACAGTAAAAATCCTCATAAATTAAAGAACTTTGAAGATCCTGTTTTTGATCCTAATAACACTAAATCTGGAATTCGACATGGTGGAAAGGCGCGAAAAGGAGATGGAAACGATATCGTGCCGTCACCCAGAAAACTTTTCAGTCTTGGTGTTCAGATACGTAGACTCAATCACATGATCAATGAGATATCAGCCAATAACGATCAGTCAGCTTCGAAACGAAATGAGTTACGAAAGAAGAAAAATAAGCTCGCATCCAGAGCTTGCAGATTAAAGAAGAAAGCTCAACATGAAGCTAATAAAGTGAAATTGTTTGGAATTGGGAAAGAACACAGTAAGTCTTAATCAAATTTTCATTTCTAAGAAATTTTACTTGATAACCGACATATGAGAAAGGAAACAGCTGAATATCTAGCTTTTTCATTCAAAATATCTACCATTTCCTGAAAATATGGCTAGATAAGCTCCAGTGTGGAAAGTGAAACGAGTCCATTTCTCCTTATTATCAATTTCTCTATGACATTCTTATCTAAAAATAGAATTATCTTTCCCAAAATGTCAAATATTTGCTTCAACAGCTCATGTCCTTGTTTGAAAATAAAGATTTTCTTGAAAAAAGATTTTCATCTTAATTTGAAGCATGGTCAACCGGAAATTTTATCTTAAGACAATCTAGAGTTCAAAGTTCAAATGTGAAAGGTCATGGCTATGAAGTTTATTAACCCTGTTTTCCTTCCTTCCAGGTCAGCTGATAGAAGTCATCAAGACTATAAAAGGAGAATTAAAAAAGAAGGCAAGGGATGTTGAAAATGAGACTTTGAGTAATAAAGAAAATTTAATAAGTACATTAGACCGGTTAATTGCTAACAAATTAAGTAAGTATTTGCATATTATATCTTCATAAACACCAAATTAATGATTAAATCATCTAACATTGCCTAGGCATCGTTGACAACATTAATGGCCATTTGAATCTTAACCCAAACATGACTGGCAAATACACCTACAACACTCCTGCTTGATAAGAACAAAAATATCATTGTCAAAAGTCATAAGTTATTTATTAAAGTAATTGTTATGCATATGATAGTGTCTAGTTGATTGCTGCTCGAAACTTTAGCCAAACATGACTGGCAGATACTCTTACAACATCCCTTAAGTGGCCCTTTAAAAAATACTTATTATATTTTGTTTTTATTTTTCAGCTGACAGAATAGCTGGAAATACGACAGTGTATGTTAACAGTGTGATAAAAACAGTGGAAGGAGGCGATACAACGGGAGGAATCCCCAGCGCTCGGAAATAAACAGATCCATCCAATCAGAGATCAGCCCCTTCAGAATCTCTTTATTTTGTATTACACCAGAACTCTTTTAGTTGTCTAAAACTTGAGATCAAATGGACAAATACCATCTTCCAATCAGCAACATCAACTTTTTAACAACAAGTAAAAATAACTCTTTGATTCCCATAAGCATGATCTTCAAAGCTTCTCATGAACTTTTTGATTCAAGAGGCATGAGCTTTTTCGAACATAAGAACATATTAATCCAACGTGTGTAAATAACATCTGGGAAGAATTTTTTGACTGACAGCCTTGATTGCATTTGACTTGATATTAATGAACGATTTCATATCTTGTGATCTTAAATTGTGTTCAATTTTTCGAATGTAGAGACACTGTAAATGGGAAAAAATTGACAAGAATTTGCCAGCAAGATTCGATGTTTCAATATTGTTATTAATGTTGTTTTAAGTCTGATTGTCCAAATAATCGGTGTTAAAGTTTTTTGTTGTTTGTTAAACTATCTTTTGATGCTCCATGAGCTGTGAATTTTAAAAAGATAGGGGCGTGGTTGGAGAGAGAATTCGAATATAAGATATCGTCAATTTCTAATTAAATTTGAATGATAATTCAATTGCAGCATGCTAATGTGATAAACATATCATTGAATATGTGTCTGATTTGAACGGAAAGCAAGAAATTGTCGAAGCGATGAAAAGTCTCTCCTTCCAAAGCCAATATGATTCAAACAACTAAAGAACTCAATATGTATTAAGGTATGAGTTGAAATCCTAAGCGAGAAGTGGTGTTAGGCATTGGCCTGTGAATAAACCATTTGTCTTTCAAGATAATCGTCAGGCTATTGCAAGTATGGCCGTAGCATTTGAGAATAAAAACTTGGTTTACTATAAATAAATACAAGCATTTTTTATATCACCTTTCATATTATTTTCTTCGTAAATTTTTACATTTTATAGATCATTTCCTCAATATTTGATTTGTAGATTAAAATTTGTGTCTCATAATTTGTATTTAAAAACCCATCAAGGTGCATGTTGTAAATAACAATATGTAGTTATTTGTAGTTAAATGTAGCTATCAACCCTATTTCATGTATTATCCCTATTCCACCTACTATCAAGTATTTGTAATATTAACATTTCATGTAGTCTTAATATAACAAAACATGACAAAATTTCATAATAAGATAGCATAAAAGTGCATTTTTGATGCAATTTTGGCATGTTTTGCTGATTGTTCAGGTGTAGATTTTCATAATCAACAAATTATATTTAAATATTTAATATTATAAAACTTGTGACAAACCATGCCTAAATATCATTATTACTTATTGTTATATAGTCAAAGACAAGATATTTTTGCATGACTGGTTATGAAATTAGATGTTCATTTACCTTGTATATTGTAAAATGTGTTTTTTGTTGTCACTGTCTTCATTGTACAGCCAAGTGACCTTATTCCATACAATTTCTAGTTGTAGCCTACCATAGATAGTAGAATTGTTATATATCAATGAAAATATCTTACAAAATGACATAAATTGGAAAATATCAGAGAAATTTCAATTGTTTTGTTATCTGTTATGATGGTCTGTTTTGTTTGTGATTTGAGAATATATAAAAATAAAATTGGCTAAGCAATAATGAATTTTTTATTTGGATACTGGACATTACAACCTGCCTTCACTTCTTATTGAACACGTCTTATGGTACATATTAGTGGTACTTTCTCATTGTACAGTACTGTGGTCCATTGCCTTACTGTACAGCCATGTCATTTGCTGATTGTCCAATGGTCTCTTCCATTGTACATCATTAGGGTGGTTCACTGTCATATTGTACATCATTGTGGTTCACTGTCATATTGTGCATCATTGTGGTAGTACACTGTCATTATGTACATCAGCGTGGTACACTGTCATAGTGTACATAAGTGTGGTACACTGTCACAGTGTACATCAGTGTGGTACACTGTCATATTGTACATCAGAGTGGTTCACTGTCATATTGTACATCATTGTGGTGGTTCACTGTCATATTGTACATCATTGTGGTGGTTCACTGTCATATTGTACATCATTGTGGTGGTACACTGTCATAATGTACAGTGTCATTAAAAATCAACAGCAAGGTCCTTCTGTTAAAGCTGTCCCTGACACATTTCTCTAGATTTCATTGATGCTTTTCCAACTTAACTTAAGAAATCAGATTCCTAATATTTACCTGCATAATTAATCTTCATAATGTCATGGATATCACTTCCTGAATTAAAGCCAAATCTAATGGTTTCCTTATTTATCTAATACCTGTACCATAGCAAAATATTTTCACTGTTAAAATAGTGCTCAATATAATTGTAGAGCGATAAAGACATACCACTGTTATAATAGTGCTCAATACATCAATTGTAGAGCGATATAGAAATACCACTATTAAAATAGTGCTCACTACATCAATTGTAGAGCAATATAGAAATACCACTGTTAAAATAGTGCTAAATACATCAATTGTAGAGGAATCACTGTTAAAACAGTGCACAATACATCAATTGTAGAGCGATATAGAAATACCACTATTAAAATAGTGCTCAATACATCAATTGTAGAGCGATATAGACATACCACTGTTAAAATCGTGCTCAATACATCAATTGTAGAGCAATATAGAAATACCACTGTTAAAATAGTGCTCAATACATCAATTGTAGAGGAATCACTGTTAAAACAGTGCACAATACATCAATTGTAGAGCGATATAGACATACCACTGTTAAAATAGTGCTCAATACATCAATTGTAGAGCAATATAGAAATACCACTGTTAAAATAGTGCTCAATACATCAATTGTAGAGGAATCACTGTTAAAACAGTGCACAATACATCAATTGTAGAGAGATATAGACATACCACTATTAAAATAGTGTTCAATACATCAATTGTAGAGCTATATAGAAATACCACTTTTAAAATAGTGCTCAATACATCAATTGTAGAGTGATATAGAAATACCACTGTTAAAATAGTGCTCAATACATCAATTGTAGAGCGATATAGAAATACCACTATCAAAATAGTGCCCAATACATCAATTGTAGAGTGATATAGAAATACCACTGTTATAATAGTGCTCAATACATTAATTGTAGAGCAATATAGAAATACCATTGTTATAATAGCGCTCAATACATCAATTGTAGAGCAATATAGAAATACCACTATTAAAATAGTACTCAATACATCAATTGTAGAGCGATATAGAAATACCACTGTTATAATAGTGCTCAATACATTAATTGTAGAGCAATATAGAAATACCATTGTTATAATAGCGCTCAATACATCAATTGTAGAGCAATATAGAAATACCACTATTAAAATAGTACTCAATACATCAATTGTAGAGCGATATAGAAATACCACTGTTATAATAGTGCTCAATACATTAATTGTAGAGCAATATAGAAATACCACTGTTATAATAGTGCTCAATACATCAATTGTAGAGTGATATAGAAATATTCATAAGTAAGTAAATCTAATACGGATTGTTTTGAAAGCTAATCCTGAAAATTATTCGGCCCTGAACTTGGCGCTGATCTGTTATTACTGTCTCTAACAATAACAAGTCTGGCTTGAAACTGGAAATACTTGCAAGTGCTTAATGTTTATGATAATAAATCTATTTTCGAAGTCTATTAATATCTATAGAGTAACTGGCAATTGACATGATAATCGTGATTAATACAAATCATTTTAATGTTTCTTTTAATTTAATTTAATGTTTGTTTATCATTTGAATTTGACTCGATATAATTGAAATTAGCTTACATTTTTATTTCTTTTGTCATTTTCTAAATTGAGATGAAAAATATCAGAAAACAGAAAAGGATTAAAATATTACATTGTATTTGACTTGAATTTAAACAAATTATTACAATTTTGATCTGATTTTTTTGTGCAATTGTTATCATGGTCTTATTTTCATGGCCATGAATTTTAAATTTTGATTTTTCATTGAAAATTCATGGACTTTATAAAATATTAATGTAACGCTATCAAAATTCACTTAAAAATTTAAAATTTTACTGAAATTTCAAAGATTATAAATTAAATATGTCCAATATGAACAATGTGATTATTATTACCAATAAAAGAATAACAATCATCTAGAGCAGTGTATAATTTGTTATTTGTTATTTTGAGTATTGTTATCTTCACAGTAAATAAATCTAATAAAAAAATGTATTTATTATTATTAAGTTAAAATGAACTGTTGACAAACCAAGACACATATCACAATAAAATGACCTTGGTTTGGTAAGAGTGGATGTAACATATAATTGAAGTTACGAAAGCACAGGCCGAGGTGAAAATTCAGCTACATCAACGTGATTTTTATAAAGTAATGAAATTCAATTATAAAGTAATACTTATTATAAATTAAATAATTCTAAAATAATAGAGTATATATATATTAATGTGAATGAAGTTTGTTGTTTTCTGTTTCTGTAACCAAAATCCTATGATTAAATGATGGCTTGCATCAACCAAAAGTCTGCAGTTCAAGATCACATGGACACTACAAGGAAAACTGAGCATGGAAAACTACAGGAAGATTCAGAAAGTGTTAAAAACAATTTTTATCAAGATCTGATAAAGTATATAATATAGGCATGGGAAATACATGCACGGTCCTGGATGTTTATGAAGGTGAATCTATTTTAAGAGTCCATTAATATTGATGGTGATACTGCCAAATGACACGATAAACGTGATTTTAAAATAAACACGAATCATTCTTAGTGTCTCTTTTAATATCAAATTTATTTTTCTTGTCTTTTGGAGACAGGCTCGAGAAGGGCGACGAGGAAAAATCAGATGCAAATGACGTCATATAGCCATTAAAATTCTAAACGCTGACGTGTTATTAGACCGAATTAATTCTTTGTACTTTAGTGAATCATGTCTTGGATTTTGACCTTGACTAATCCAAAAATGACTCATACTCTAATCAGACAATTAATTCTAGAGTCCGCTATTCGTCACCTACTTTTAATAAAGCGGTGACGAGTCAACAAACTTCTTATTTATTATCGTAAACAACTTTTACACATGGTTGAGTCTTATTCTTCCAGACCTTTCTGGAAACTACTCAACTATAGACAAACCAGTCTTGACGTCCGAGTCTAAAGAGATTTTATGAATGAATGGTCATGCTGGATTTTGATTGGCTACGTTTTAGGTCAGCGATTTCATAATACTGTAACTAGCCAATCAACATTGAGATATTTCGTACAGTTAATGAGATAACCCTAACCCAATTTTGACGCAATAACACGTAATAACCAATGAAGTATATCGAACGATTTATGATGCATAATATCACGAGACAATTAGAATGCCTTAATTTTCAAACCATCAGCAAATTTACTGACACATTTCAGGTGGTGGTGAAATTATGTAAATTGTTAAAAGCATACTCACTATCAGCTGTTTAGATATATGATAATTAGTGTGCGGGACAAACCATATCTGAGGCAATCTAAACTATTTTTGTATAGAGATGGTGGATATCCATCGTTAGCTCTTGTATTGAGTCAGTTTGGCTCAGTACAGATATACCTTAATAAGAAACACAGTGACAGAATTGCATCAGAATTAAATGAAATACATTTATGAAAATGATTCTTCTATTTCTATGCCATAATGTAAGGCGATCATTAAAAAATAGGCTGGAGCCTGTAGGACACAGGCTCTTGGTTTAAATTATTGTTTCTTCCGAACAACTGGCCGCTTTGTCCATGACAGTCCCTCCGACATGCATCACTTACACTCCTGGCTGACATGGGGGATCCCGAGTATTCTTGAAGTGAGCATTCGTTTCGTCCAGAGTGCATTCAGTTTTTGAATAAAGGCCTGCAAATTGGTTTCCAACTTATGATTTACGTCACCCAAAGTCTTGACAAATAACCGAATAAGAATTAGTTTGATAAGCACTGATTAACTTCTTGTGTCAGACTAGCTTGGAAGAATTTCTTAACCCAGACGCCAGACATAATCAATTATTTATCAAGGCTGAATCATCCATCAACATATGATACATAGCTTATCCTTCCTTATCATAATACAAACCATTCCAAACTAACATCATCAGCTGTGTGGACTCTCCAAACAAACTCTCTAGGCATTAATATACTATTCTAGACGAGTTGCATCAGGTGTTCCATCAGGTCTTGCATGTATCCGTCTCAATATTTATTGAAGCTACTCCTTTGAAGATATAAGACTGCGGGTCCACATAGCTCAAAGACACCGAGCAGCACTGAACCCAATTTGCGAATAGCAAAATACAAAGTTTGTCTTTTCGTGACTAATATGACTTGATCGTTATTGACGTGGGATTAGGGGTGGGGCAGATCCTCGAGGTATGTCGAGCGCCCCCAGACTTAACGTCTGCTTGTTAATCTCAAAAAGTGAGATTGGATGATAATGGCTACCAATTTTGTGACTTCGGATATATTAAAATGTATTACATGTTCTCGTGTTTCCGTGGCTATTCAAATTATAAGCGAACAACCCCAGTTCAGAGACAAAACTATGCCCGTGGGTTGCATCGTGATCTTCTTTACAAGCTAAGTAGATTCCATGGATGTTATTAACCCTGTTTTCTTTTTGCGCACATTTGAAAAAAACATCAATTATAAGCTGCAATTTTGTAATTGTAAGCCGATTTATCGCTTTTTAAATGAATTAAAGTTTTGCTTCATGTTTCGATGGACATCACTCTCGGATCATGCTCTGGAGCCGCGTGTGTGACGACTTTACTTTTTTTGCGTTTTCATTTATGTCACGTGCAGGCCTAAACATGTGATTATGATCGCTTTGCTTAGAATACAATAAAAAAAAACATTCTGTTAGTCATTTTATTACACATCGAATGACAAAAGCATGGGCGTCCGCATAACATAGAGGCATCTGCCCCCCGCCCACCTTCTGATAAATATGGATAAAAGCCAAATATGCAAGACTGAGCAAAATAATCGTTACATATTTATTCAGATATATTTAAAGCCAATTTTTCAAAGATTTGTATGTCTAATCCCAAAATTAAAAGGTATATTAAACCACCTGGAATTATGAAACACAGATAATAAATTCCACTATAAGAACTGTTCATTATATATGTGTCTATATCAATTCAAAAACAAAGTATGCTCCGCTTAAATTGGGCTATCCTCGGAAGAATCCATCAGATATCAAAAGACATTCTTGAAATTTACAGGAAGATTCTCCAAGTTCAATAAAATCAACTCAATACTATCATGTAGTTCCATATAGCACGGTATCTATTTTTAGTAACACCGGTCGATAATCTGTCGGCACGAAAAGCCAAGAATATGGAAACCTCGGATAATTTCTGAATTATTGGAAAAATAAGGTAAATATCATTCAAGATTCTTGCCAAATTTCAGAATATTTGCACTCGATGAACCAGGAAATATCAGGTATATAGCACGGAAGGTGAATCTCTTGAAATGTCTGGTTTAAATCGCAATAAATTATCGATTTTTATAAAAATTTCAAGCTGGAAAATGTCAAGCAATGTCGTTTAAAGTAGAGCATTTTTGAGATATTTCAAGTTAATAGCTTCACTAATCGTAAGTGAAATTGATTGGTTATTATTGCTTATTTTATTTCTAAATTCTTTTTGACAGTTGGACAAACGCCAAAATGGCCGGCGTCAGGGTTATGCACTGGGGCCTCTTCGATCTTCATGCCTTGCATAAGTTATGATGATTCGCCTCAGTCTGATTTGACCCGCTAGCAACAGCTGGTTTCTAATGCTATGTCATTTACATTGACTAAGTTGAAATAAATTCCTATGGATATCGAAAATATTTATAATGCTAGTATAATATCCTGTTTTCGATATGTCACATTTATTGCATTGTGCATTACCCTAAAGCTTTGAAGAAGTAGTCCTATGATAAGCACACACCCAATTCCGGAAAGAATGCAAATCTGGTAGGCCTATTATTTTTAATAGACTTTCCAAAACATTTGGTACGAATCGTCACCATGTGATATTTAGCGCCCATTTCTTTTCCCGCCCAAAAATTGCAACTCATGGCGCCTAGATAGGAATTGACGTATAGAGTTCTCTGTGTGCAGTGTGACAAACGACAACCATATTTATATTTTACTTTTTCTAAAGCAAGCTACATTTAATGATAGAGTGGATGCTAACAACTCTTTAGACATACTTCGATAAAGCAAATATGCACGTTTCAATTGTAGATACTATGGAGGGGTATAACTGTCACTTCCATTGGTGCGTTTTCCAGATTGAATAGCTACAACTCCAGGTAAGACATAAGGGTATTGAAGACCCACCACTCCCCCGTTTGTTCAGTTGCTAATTGCAACGCTTAAACCGTTAATGCCTTGAAATAGAACATAGTCACGGATCTATAATCGATGTGTGCTGAGCCTAATTTTTGACAAAAATTGATTACCTTGCAAGCCATTATAGATTAACCACTTACATAACTGCGAAACTTTGGACCAATTACTTTTTGCTCTGATACCAGCGACGGCTCCGTACAGGCCCAAGAAAAGAAATACAAAGAACATTCTCTAAAGACGCTTGAAATGCAAGGAGTAGGATGACTCCGGACCTCCTAGAATAGCTTCACACCTCAAGCGCTCACTAAATTTGGCGGAGCACCCAATCCTCCACCCCTCCCTTCAAAGTTCTGCAACCGTTATGATAATCCGATACTAACAATTTCTGTTCTCCAGGTAAAAAATTCTCAAATCAAAATGGAGACGGATGGTGAGGTCACTGATACAGAAACAGTGGATTCCCAGGATGTCAAAGAAGAGGTTTGTGAAGAAAATGTCGGCATACTCCTCAATTCTCCCACCTGCGAACAAATAAACCCCGAAGACGAGGAAGAGGTCAACAAAATCATCAAGGGAGAGATCCCAGAGCTAGAATTTAAATGCCGATGTTGCAAATTTGTAGCGAACTCTTTCGAGAACATAGAAAAACATGAAAACGGCCATCGAGCTAGAGGAACCTTTCTGGAGTGTGAATATTGTGATTTTTGTACCAATACACGTGATATTATGATCCAACATGTGACCAAGCATACAGGTGAGCGTCCTTTTAAGTGTAAAAAGTGTCCATTCCGGTCCAGATGGAAGCGAGATCTAATCAAACATCAAGTGAAGCATTCGGATGAGAAGAAATATATGTGTTCACAGTGTGACTTTACTACCAAATGGTACAACAATATCAAGCACCATCAAATCAAACATTCGACCGAGAGACCCTTCTCGTGCCATATTTGTGATATGAAATTCAAGCGTAAGACTGGGCTGGATTACCATTTATACAGACACAACGACTACAAACCAAAGAAATGCCCTAAATGTGATTTTCGGTGTAAAACAAACTTTGAACTAAAGCTTCATCAACATAAACATTCTAATGTTCGAAACTTTCCTTGCACATTTCCTGGCTGCACTCAAAGGTGCAAAACAAAATCAGATTTAAGCAAACATATTAAAATCCATTCCAATGTTAGAGACAAAATATGTGAGATTTGCAACAAAGGATTTGCAACGTTTGCAAATTTGTCCAAGCATAAACTCCGACATGTGACTGAACGTAAATTTCAATGTGAACTTTGTACCCGTAGATTTAAAACCAGAATTTCTTTAAGAAACCACCTTACTACACATAATGACCATAAACCCTTTTCATGCGATGTTTGTGGGCATAGATTCCGAAACAGGCATAACATGAAAACACATAAATTGACTCATTCCGAAGATCGGGCATTTAAATGTCCCATTTGCCCATACGCTGGTAAATTTCCATTCCACATTTTTGCCCATATTGGCACATTTCACGGTGATAAGTATGCTTATTTTTGTGAAATTTGTAGGAAACCGTTCAGAAGATACAGCCAGCTGCAGACTCATTGTGGTCGTATGCACAAGGACAGTAACTTGCTAACAGCTGTTCCGGAGATCAAGCAGGAAGTGGTCGACGAAGGCCAAGAACAATCTTCACCAGAGGCAACCACAAACCAGAATTCAAAGACAGAGAAAATAAATGCCCCAATGGATACAGTGGAAAATCAGATGGATAGTTCAAAAGCTACTTATGCTCAGAGCAACGATCAAAATGCCACAAATTCAAATGACAATGCACCCTTAACGGAAACAAAAGCAGTTGCTACTAGTGACAACAAAATTAATCTACTAGTTCCCAAGCCAGAAGATCCAAATGTACTGATTTACAACATTGGTCCGTTTCGTCTACCTTTGGCTACCAAAGGATTTGATTTCAATTTCGAGAAGACTGGAAAGAAACCAAAACAATGGTTTATGGATCCTCAAAATATGACTGATCAAAATGCAGCTGAAAAACAAAGAGCTTACATCGAAAAGAAGGCTCGAGGCGTGGATAAGTCAAGAGGGGCAACTCTAAGAAAATTTGACTGGAAGAAGCCCCCATATAAGCCGTCCCATGAAGAAAATCCGAGATATAAACGCGAGAGGGAGCGACAGAAGAGAGAAAAGGAAGCTGGCAGGAGTTTAGTGAAGCAAGATCCAGATCTTATGGAGCTGATCAACCTTGGTCGGACCAACATCCGGAAGGTCAAAATCTGCAAAAGAGCTGGTTTACTTATGAAAAACTGGAAAGTTTTGGAGGTCAAACTGGAGAAAATTGATGCCGTCGATCAGAAGGAAGTCCAGAATGGGACGAAGAATGAGACAGAGCAGACAGAGTCCTCTGACAAACAAGTAGAGGGAAGCATCAAACCAGCAGGTTCCCGAAAAAGGAAGGTATTTGAATCAAGAACAAACGAAACAAATAGCGGGAAACGCAAGAAGCGTAAAGTAACAATTAAGGATATGACCGAAAACTACAAAGCAGAAAGCAACCCCATTGACTTGATACCAGAAGATATTCAGCCACAGGCACCAAAGACCGACAAGGACTTAAAGTCCACAAGTCCCCAATCAAAGAAAACCAAAAGACCTGTCGGTCGGCCAAGAAAACATCCGAAAAAGATTTTTATACCGAAATCCAAGAAAATCAAATCGGCAATAGATCTTATACCCCCATTGCCAGAACTTGGACAAATCTCGACAACCAATGCCCCAACGGATGAGCTACTGAATATGCCTGCCAAATCGAGTTCCCCCGCGATAAAAGAGATTATAGTAGAGCCTCACCTGACAATAGATGCTAATCTTAAAGACAAACCCACGGTGACAAATGTAACCATCGCTGACAAGACACTAGCTTCTATAGACAATCCGATGGACCACCAAGACCATGACGGGGTCTCAAAGGCCGACGACCAAAATCTAAGCAAATCACAAGCCAAGGTGGTGCTGTCAAATACCAAACAGTACAGCAGGACTATTTTGTCAGTTCCCAAAATTCCAAGACGATTGCCAACTGACGTGCCTTCTGTTGAATCAGCATCCACATCGTCCTGTTCATCTAAGAAAACTACTCAAAGCAGATCCGGAAGATTAAACCAGACGATCGACAAACTGTTAGCTAAAAAGACATCCGATATGAAGAGCACCAAGAAAACTCCAAAACTCTGGCAGCCATTTATATCAACTGAAGAAGCATCCACAGAGACGGGGGCACATGCCACGGAAGGCAAAAGACACCGAAAATCAGATGCACCTCGAAAGATTCAAAAGAAAGAAAGATGCCAACGAAACTTACCTGCAGATTATTTAGATGAAGATGACCTCCCATTGTCCATTATCTCTGGAAAACAGCCACAACAGATGTCTTACGAGGATTTCATTACTGAACTACAAACAAGAAACGAAAGTGAGCAGCAAACCCCAGCAAAGAGAAAGGTCGGTCGCCCACGGAAGACCGAGGTACAGAATTCTCCGAAGAAAATATTGGAAAATTTGTTATGTCAGCCTTTTAGAACCAAACGAAATTTGACGGATCTTGATGTTCTCCGATGCATGAACGAATCCGTTGGTGCGAGAGATCCGGTTGTTTCAGTAACAGCAGTCAAGGTACCGGGACTGTATGCATCTACGACGACCTCGAAGATGGAGTGCGAATTAGGCGAGTCTTCGACGTGCAGACGACAACAACGACGTCCGATCTCGTTACCTACATTATACAACAAGCTTACTTTGAAAGATGCGTTGACAATGCCCAATGAGCTCATCCCTGATCTATGCTTCAAAACAACTGATTTGGTTGGACCTGAACCAGACAGAATGCTTGGTTTACCGGATATCACTTCCTTACACGATAAAAACGATCTTCTTAGGATCCAGAAAAGTTTACGACACGAAAAATACCGACTGAAGAAGCTTGATCCGGAATCTGTAGCAATTAAACATATATCACAGATGATCAACTCGGGAAGAGCACCTAAATCAGAAAAGGAATCAACAAGTGATTGTCCCATCTTGAAGAAAGTTCTTTTGAGAACCAAAGAATCAGACGACATTCCTGACGACGATGACGTCATCATCACTGAGGTTAAAGACATACCCAAGAAACCCATTAAGATCATAATTAAGAAACAAATAATTGAAGATGTAAGTGAGAGAAGTTGTAAAAGCAGAAAGACTGAAAAATATGTGGAAAGAGACATGAGGGGAAAGGCGAGAACTGTCCAGGTGACACCTAAGGTATTTAAAGCTTCAGAAACAACATCCACACAAATCAAGAAGGACCCCTCAAATGCCAGCATCTCAAAAGAAGTCAAACGAATCAAAAGAAAGAACACAAAAAAGTCAACTATATGGGAAGTCCAGAACTCCAAAGAACTGCCAAATTCCCTACCAAAGAAGTTGAAGAGCAAGAAGAACAAAGCAAAATCTTCGGAATCCTCTCCAAGATTCTCAAAAATCAAGAAACCCAGAGCCAAACCTCTGGGAAAGAAGTGTCTTGCTTCAGCAGATATTAAAGAGGTTCTTCAGAAATACATCACCAAGAGAAGACAACTCTCGTTGAAAACCAAGAAGGAAAAGAAAAAAACCAAGAAGGTACCGAAGATCAAAATTAAGAAGACATCAAAAGTTTCCCCAAAGGTGAAAACCAAAAAGACATTGAAGGAAAAACAAATTGGAAAAGAGTCAAAATCAAAAGTCAAGAAGAATAAAGCCAATCCTAAAAGGAGTGGAAAAGGCCTGAAGGTCAAAATTCCAAGAAAACCCAAAGCATCTGGCCATGGTCCAGAGATTTACGTGGACATTGAAGACGAAGATGTGGAATACATGACCAACAGCTTACAAGAAAAGATCATTGCCATTCCGGAATCAATGGGAGCAGAATTTCCCAAAACCGAACCAATGGATGATCAGGGTTTATATTCTGGAAATGGTGATCAAGAAACCAATTTCGGCCAGGTTTCTTTGGATTATCGTTCAGATCGTTCAGATCATCAGACTTGGCATCAAGATCGAGACATAAAATTGGGCATGCAGATTGACCATTGTGTAGACTCCTCAGACCTGGAGCACTCTGTTGAGGTCAACTCTACGGGGGAACATGTGCAAAGTATTAAAGCTGAAGAAGAGGTGTCAATGAACGTTCCAAACATCAAGCAAGAGAAGCCAGATTACTGTGATTTCAGTGCCCAATATGAGGATATAAGCGACTTTGAACCGGATATCCCAGTTAAAGAGGAATCTTCAGTCCAACTTGAGAAACACCATATTCTGAATATGGTCCATGTGAAATATATCTAGTTTAGCGATCTTGAAGCTTTGTTCAAGTACCAGAGGCCAGGATGGTTAGATCCCCAGCACCAGTCATGCTCATCTTTACATAAAACCAAATGCCAGTTTGAAATCGAGTTCACCAACTACTTTGGGATGGATTTATACCAGCTTACGATATTATTATTTTTTAAGAGCATCGCTATTACACCCTGGATTTTTTTTTTGTATAAACAATATTTATTGACATAATAGGATTAGGGAACAGGCTTTCGTCTATAATACACTAAGCCTGGATCTCAGTAGCAAGGCAAATCATGATTGCACTCTGATATGGAGATAGTCAACTTTAGGAATTCCTGTGGGAAGAGTCTATGAACTAAGTACATTTTATGCCTTTATTTTCAACTCTGTTAATATAACTCCAGTTGGTGCTCTCACTAGCATTGCAAATCATGTTTTCAATTCCAAAACACCTGATCTCACTTCGACAGGTATTGCCGACATCAGATTTTTAAGGGTCAAAGAGCTTTTTAATGTTTTTTTACATCATGCTACTTATTTCACCTTTTCACCTTTTCACAATGCCAAGTTAATTCCATAGCTTTAATTTGCCTGTGTTCATATTCTGGCAGTCTTAAAGAGCATCATTGTCAATTTTTTTTTTAAATTAACATCCCATGATAGTCATATTAGCGTATGAAAAGTTCAGTAACACCTAGAGTAAATATTAGAAAGTAGAGCCATTCAAACATCTGCAAACTGAGAGAAAAAACATTGGCGATAATAAGATGATTATTAATCTGAACACTCTGAAGTATTAAATGTCTAAAATAAGACAAAACGGGAAACAAAAAAACTGTAAATAGAAGTTTAAATGTTATGTTTTGTTTTGTGATAACCATTTAATATAATAAACTAGGAATCTGTTAATCAAATGAAATGCCAAGTTTTTATGTTGTTATGACACTATTAAGAGATATTATTTTTCAAATATTTCCTTAACCAACTGATAAAACTTAATTTCGGCTATGCTTATTATTTTTCAAATATGAAATCCAACAGTTGTGGTTTCCATAACATTATTGTGATAATTACAGATATTTGAATAAACAAATGGAGTTTTATCTTGCGATAATTACAGCTGAAATTGAGCTTTATAAACTGGGAAATAAATGCAGAGATAATTGAAAAAATTCTTGTGTTTCATAATAGCTGAAGAAAACTTTAAATTACTTATATTTGAGTTTGATGACTTTGTTAATGGTATTTAGTGCTTGAATGCATTATAAATTTGTGTTTTGGGTTTTGTACAAAGCTTGTCGATTGTGACAATCATATTGAGCCTTGAATAACTGCTTCAATTCCAACCTCAAAATGTAAACAGGTCTTTTGTAACTACAAGTAACAGATCCTCTCCAAGGCAAGTCCCAAAATTCTTAGACTAGAATTCTTAGAATTCTCTGCACTAATGTCAAGAAGCAGAATTAACCTTTTTGGGCAGTTGTTCTTTTTTATAAATAATATTATCATTTAATGTTATATTGTGATCTCCACCTTATTTTATTTCATATCATGTCAAGTTATTCCAATTATTTATTTTTTGTTAAATTTTCAAATTTTATTTCTACATTATTTGTTGTTATATTATTCTAGTCTAATGTTTAAGCTTTTAACTTCCATGTTTTTTTTTTTGTTAACATAAAATTGGATACAATGTTATTTAAAATTATTTAGCAAGAAATCGAACTTCAAGCCCTAAATTTGTCAACACCATTTATAAAGGCCATGGGGCCAAAACTTTGTGTTGAAAAGAAGCTGTGATTTCTTCAACATCTTTTTCATTTTCTATTAAAGGGATTGTGATTGTGGTTCCTTTAATTATAGGATTGATAATTGTAACTGATGTCAATATCATGAAACACTTAGTTTATGTTGAATTGTGAGACTCACAAATCTCCCTGTTATATGTAAAATGTCTCAAACCTCTTTTCAATCCCTGTAAGTATCTCCATTTGTACTGTAACTTAATTTCAATTATTCAAGAGATGACATCTCAAGCCTTTGAACCTTTTTTTTCATATCCTCTTCTTAACTTGTTTATAGTTTCATCAGAAACTAGTCCCAATATTTATGTACTTGTCCCATTTTTTCTGTTGTTTATTTTTTCAAAGTTTAATGTTGTTCTGTTATTGTGAAAATAAAAAGCAAATTTTTTCATAACTTGGATATTTTTAATTTTATTTTTTGTAGAAAAATATGAAAACTAGATTGGAATGTGAAAAATTTACAGAAATATAACAAATCACCACGTATAGATCTGCAAACAACACAATTAGTCAAATATTTTCACAAATATCATTTGTTTACACATATTCTTCACGGACATCATTTCAGTACAGGGGCACTAGGGTGTTAATTAAGTCAAGTTCCAGAATTCACATGCACATAGACTACTTGGACAGGTATGATTTTTTCCAATTTTTGATGACAAGTAAATACAGAACCACATCCACACCAGTTACCACTTTTATACACATTTCAGTAACTAATCAGTAATCAGCTCATCCAATATGTAAACGATTTGAGGAACGCTACCTTCTCTAGTAGGAGATTCGAGTCTATACCAGCAATGATCATGTTAGTACATTCTGAGTTTTCAGAAGGCTCGTCTTCATAGAGACACAGAAAATAAACCATAAAAAGTAATTTCATTTGTATGATTTCTTTCTGCTAGGGAACATCTGTTAACAAAAACTTCATATGCTGAAGTACCTGAAAAATACTGTTCCTATGTAGTTCTCATTGTTCAATCTTCATAACCCTCCTCTTTTAGATATGTATCTGTAGCCATACACCATGTAGTCAATAAGATAGCTAGTAATACAGCTACAGCATACATCATAGTATACAGGTGATTGGTCTCTTGTCTTACTTCAAAACCAATAAATCTACAAAATATCAAATTAATCATGTTTATTTTCGTTGGTAACAAAATGGAAGAGAGAACAACAAGGTTCACAGACTCCTGAACTTAACTGAGATAGATACTTAAAATAGATACTTCAGAAGTAAATCTTCATAAGGTACTTACAGTAAAGTATAATTAAAGGGAGACAACTACAATTATCAGTTAAGAAACCACCAGATCAAAAGTTCAAAAATTGGAATTGAAACAAACTCATAAATCCATTAAGTTTCTTAAAAGCTTTTACGTGAAAGACAATCTCTATAAGCAACTTGCAGTATAATAACTAAAGGGAGACAACTACAATTATCAATGTCAAGAAACCCATCAACAAAAGGTAATCAACTGAAATCTTACCCGAGTCTACAGGAGAGTATAACATCAGTAATACCATCATTATTAAAATCACCAGCTACTATAGGACCTATAGACGGTGTTGGTATAGAGTGTTCAGCTATAATATTACCTTCAGTTAGATCTAGTATAGTCATAGTGTTCAAGCCACCTATTACTACTACATCCTAGAGAAAGAAAACTGAGTTTAAATTCAGAAATAATCCTACTATTTTATGCCATTCAAGTTTATTCAAGACATTGAAAACAACTCCTTAAAATGTTAAATTCAGGGATGTTAAATTCACGGTAGTTATGTTATATTTTTCTACTCCTTATTGGACAGCATTATGCAGTGTGTAATAAGGGAAATTTTTACAGGGCAGCAGCATAAATCTACTTAATGGCAGATCCAGCTTCCCATGCCAGGGGGTACACATAGGGGGGAAGATTGATTAAATGGATGACAAATGGATGAGATTCAAAATGTAGCAGCTCTGTGGAAACACAATGGCACCACCCTCTCATGGGGTGTCTTAGATGGTTCTCCCCCAAGAAAGAGTTTGAAAAATAGAATTGATTTGGTATTAGGAAAAAAAGAAATGAAATGGTATTCTAAATTAGTAGATTGTAGACAAACTGACCTGTTTTCCTGAAACTTGTAAAGAAGTTAAAGTTCGAGTAGGAGTGAAGGATTTAAGAAATTCTTGAGCCACATCTGAGTTACTGTCTTTAGATCTACGAACACTGACACCAGTTTCGGCCCAGCTAGCGGCCGTTTGGGTCTAAAATATACATTGATAACAATAGTAACACATATACAATAACAAAATATTTTTTCACTGTTAAAAAAATACAATAGTATGAAGAAATATCAAAACAAAACTTGAATTATGTTGTTACTCAGAGTTTGTCTCTATATGATCTTCAGACAACTAACCTGACCTATTTTCAGTCTAACACCAGTAATATATGGTTGATGTAGATCTACAGAAATTTACACATCTACTCTCTTCTTCTCCATTTTGAATTCTGTTCATTTTTTCTTTACAGAAAAGATTTTACTAAAATTCAGGTTGATTCCATGTATCCTGAACAAGCAGAACTCACCAATCAACCAAGAGTTTATGTTTATTATCAACATACCTGCCAATGAAAGTTGCCTTCAAAATCTAGAGCTGACACACGACCGAGACTGGTAAAGGATATGATGTCATAGTTGAGATCTCCTGACAGGTGATGTCCCATTAGATGCCGTAGTATCCCACGCTTCTTGGCTACCCTAAAATATATGTATAAAACTTAGAAAAATCAGAGAAGAAAATAAGTCATAATATCCTTGTGAATATTCCAGTCCATTAGATTTATCCAGAATGTAGTTTTCTATTATCATAAATTCAACAACTTTTCACTCTAGAAATATGAATGTACAATGTTTTAGTCTTTCATATGAAAGACAACCGGGAATATGTTTTTTTTCACAAATGACAGATTGAATACGTCTATGCGTTGAATTTTTTCAACTGCACCAGGCAAAGAAAGAAAACTCCCAGGAAAGGAGCGAGAAGTCAACAACCAGAATATTATACAGCCTCTTGACAAGCTCATCTCATGAGTATACAGCACCAAAGCACACAAAAACTTAGGGTATCCAAGACTGACAATAAGACACAAAGAATGAAATATATACCCTCTCTTAACAATTGGTGGAATCTTTTTATAATAATCTTCTTCTAAACTCCACGATCGTGTCCAGACCAACCGTTTTGTCGTACAGACTGGTATCTGTTCAATTTTCTCCATGACTGGTTTCTGTCGCCAGATTTCTATATAGCAAGCTGTATGTTCTGGAAATTGTCCCCATGTTATTCGTTCTGCCTCGTCATCGCTGTCTGTATCCAGATAAATAGAATAATCTGGCAACACTGTAAATCTTGTGATCGGTTGTCCGGTGAGAAGATTTAATACTTCAATACCTACATGCAAAAGAAAGAAAAGAAAGAAAAGAAATAAGCTGGAGTTTAAGGTCCTGTTCTTCAGCACCTTTTAGGGCTAGGAAAATGGAACAAGTTCCAATGAGTCTGCTGATAAAACCAAAGGACATCTGCATAAGTCTTTAACTGAAGGACAATATACAGTGTTTTATTCTCTAGGAATCCCTCCAAATATCTAATAAATTGAAAAATAAGCCATACCTCTGTCATTGTGTATTACAACAGCATTAGGGTTTACAATATGTTCATGAGCATCATGTGGTCTATGTCCACCGTAAGCATACCCTACTATATGTTCTGTTGTTAGAGCATTAGCTGGATGCTGATGTTTTTCACTATCTTCATAATATTCAGCTTTTCTTGCATCTTTCTGAAATCTTGCTAAAGTGAAAGTAGTGTCTGTTAGTGTATTCCAACTGTGGGGCTGAAATGAAGAAATAACGTGTATTAAATAGATTGTAGGTTTTAAAACTTTGTATGTGTATCAGGGACACTGAAGGCATCGATTTGCACCATCCCAAATTTCAGTCAGACATCCAACGGTCTAGCAATTCTACTAAAACTAAGCCTAATATGACGAAGCTATCGCAATATCTCTTAGCTATTATTAGCAGCTTTTGCAACAGTGACATACATGTATGGTTTGAACATCAATTCAAGTTGAGATCATTGGTTAAAGAATAGTATAGGAACCTACCAAAAAGTCTAAAATGGTATCTCTGTAGGCTGTCCATGGCGACTCACCAACATGCAAACGATTTCTTCTTAATCCCAACTTCCAATGATGTTCTTCACTATCATCCTAAATCATCAGTGAACAAAAATTTATTAACTCTTTAGTAAACTGTACAAAATGACTATAAAAGGGTCAAATCCTGGTATCTTGATATTCACAGCACACAGGTTTATTGGTCTTTCTCAACAGTTCTCAACCTGGAGTCTGTGGTCCAATCTAGGGCCTTGTCAGTCTGTCACAAGCATTGATAGAAGAACAAATTGACAGTTAAGTATGCAAAATCTATCAAGAAATAAATATACCTTAATATCCTGTTTTTCCTCACCAAAGTCTCCTGGTAAATGATGCCATCTAATAGTACCATTAGAACCACTGAGAGCAAACGTTGAGAAATGTGACAACTCATCATTTTCTACTGTATGATTTCCATGTAACCTGTAATTTAATTGATAAATATGAAAATAATCAATGCTTTTGTCAAAAATAACTTTTCAAACCATCTCACATGGTTACGTAAGCTATTCATAGAAATTTACTAAAGCTTAAAACTCATGCAGCCAAACTGTGTTTGGGATAACCCTCCTCATCAGGACAGATTTGCTGAAAATAGGGGTTTACTTTTCAAATGAGACATTAGGTTTATGATAAGAAGTTGAATTATACCAAACATTTTACAAAACAAATAACCTAAAAAGTAAAAGACATTTTGTTAAACACTATTTGACTGAGACGGTAATGACTTTAACTTATCAAAAGTCCATAGATAAATATCATACTGATATTCAAAAAATAAAATAAACTCTTACCATTCTGACTGTAGAATTTGTTTATGTTGTTTATGAGTAAAACTACCACCAATAATAATCAACCCCTCATCGTTTTTATTGACAGAATGGGACGTTACTAATATACCCATAGTTTTAACCTTATAGTTCTCTATATCCTTACTGATATCTTGTAACTTGATCTTCCATAATAACTCCAGTTCTGATGAATAACAAAACACCTGCCAGTTACTGGTTACTATTACTATTATCTGAAAAGACACAGAATGTGAAATATCTAAATTAATAAAGGATAGGATTTGATATTTAATTCTTTCACTTATTTGACACGTAACGTCGTATTTCAATTCTGAAAAGAGGTCTTAGTCAAAATTGATTAAAATCCTGCTTATTCAGTACCTGATTTGGCTAATGACAATGCCATATAGTATGCAATGAGGAAAAAAGGCCAGGACAGCAGCATTAGCCTACTCTTTTTTATTCACTTTTACAAAATGAACCAAAGATATACTTTCATTTCATTTCTGATCTGCAAAATCGCTCATATGACTTGAATATAGGATAAAAATTAAAATAGTGGCCTACCTGTTTCCTAACTTGCATCATAGATGAATAAGGCACAGTAAAACCAGTTGCCATAACAACAGGTCTGCTTAAATGCTGGTGATGTCCAATCGGAAGTTTAACACGATGTTTGATCTGAACGTGAGGTAGTGCTTGTTCGTCCGTTTGATTTTTTTCATCTGGTAATGCCATGATACTTAATTTCATATCATTTGTTAGAATCACTATTTCATTCACTCCATCACTTTCTAAGTCTGTGATAATTGGAGATGGCAGCCTGTCGTCTTCTGTTGGAAACTGTCCGTTCATAAAATGCTGGGTTTCTGTTCGTTTTCTCCAAACAGGTTTTAGATAATAGGACTCCCTAGCTCGGAACAAATAGGCTATTACACCGCATAAACAAACAAAAAACACATGGCTTATTGTTAGCTTTTTAAATTGTGACTTTACTGCTTCCATTTTGATTATTAACTGTTTCTAACTTCAAACAACGTTTTTATATTCAGTTATTTCTTTTTCACATCATCAATTCATTCTACAAAATAAAAGGATAAAACATTACTACCATTGTCGTTAGTGTGTATGCATAGCTCACTAGCTTGAAAGTTTGAGAACTCTGGCATGGTACCACATATGCAGTATCATTTGAGGCGGCTATATAGCCAAACCTCAAGTTCAGTATCAGCACTGCACTGATGAGACCAGAAGGCCGAAACAGTCCTGTTTGCAGTTAACAATACACATTTTTATAGGCTACTGCCAGAAGTAACAATATATTTCAAAATGATTTCATGTTGGGCTAAAATAAAATGATCACTGTTTGATTGAATGATTGCTTTTATATTTTTTCACCCAATCAAAACTGAAGGAATGAGCATGATTCAAATAGAGATCACACCAGTGAATTTTCAACCCAATTTCCATTGTTCCATTGGGTTTCTAGGGGATATGGCCTTATGTTTATTAGGCCAGTTTACCTATGATAAATGTTTAATAACAATCATAGTAATCAAACCCTCAACCTTTAGGTTAAGACCATTATCAAGTGATCATCACAATAGGACAGAATAATATTGACTACTGTTTAGGAAATTGGTGTGAGCAATTTTGAACTTTGGATTTTGAGCTATTATCTGCATTTGAATGGACTTGAAAGCATGATCATCGATGACTGTTTCTTACAAGGGAATGTCCTCATCGTGAATAACAAACTTCATACGAAAGCTAGACCAGTATAAAACATGAATTTCTTACAATTTATTGTCAAAGGGACATAACTCCATTTTAACGACAAACAATAAAAAGTTAAAACAGAAAAGTTTATCACTTCATCATTGAGTTTTATTCTAATAAATTAAGCGAGTTCATAAACCAATGTTACAACATGGCTAAAAAATGCCAGATAGTCTTTAATAGTTCTCAAATAGTACGAATGTTTGTTTCGCAATCTAAATCACGACATCCATCGACCAGTCTTTTGTTTGTAACTGAATTTCTTTTTTGAGTTTGACTAGAAAATCTAATGTTTTTGCCGTTTCTCTATAAGATAAAAGAATAAAATCAACATAATTATTTTCCAGGACGTTTGTATGTATCATGGCTTTAATTTCAATCGCCAATTTAACTCCAGATCGTTGTTAATGTCATGTGATTTCATTATTCAAATGATTCACCAAATTTCCCAACTTGAAATGATGAATTTATTCAGGCTTATTCACTATGTGTCTTGACTATGCTGTAAGATATGCTGAAACTTGCTTTTACAGACAGGTAAACCTGGATTGCACCACTCCTTAAACATTCTGAATAGCAGTAGCCTGCTCCGACAGAGTAATGACAGATTGTCTTTGTTGAGTTATTTCAGTTTTGCTCGACTCCCAGTCTTTAGAATTTTGATGAATATGAACTATTTTATATTTCAGAAGCTGACTCTGTTTGTGTGAAATAAATTTGAAATGTCACTATCATTAAGAAGAATAAGATTTCAAGCCAGTGACAATGAAAGCAGTCCAGGTAGTGGTGATGAATCTCCATCCAGTTCAGTTGTGCGAACGTGTCAAGAAAAGACGAAGCGTGATATTGGTGGACCATGTGATACAAACTGCCATATTGACAACACAAACCCTAAGAATCCAACATTAACGTCTAAAAATCACTGTTGTAAATTGTTACAAGGTCTGCGTAGTCTACGTATGACAGATACTCTCTGTGATTATTCGGTCATCGCTGAAGGTCAAACGATTAAAGTTCACCGTGCTGTCATGGCCGCTTGTAGTGATTATTTTCGAGTAATGCTCACTAGTGATATGAAAGAGAGTCGTGAAGCGTGTGTAGAATTAAAGGGTGTGACTGCCAGTGGACTTAGTTTTGTGGTAGATTTTGCTTACACAGGAAAGTTGGAATTAACATTAGAGAATGTGGAAGATGTTTTGTCTGCTGCGACACATCTGCAAGTGGCAGACGCGGTGGAGCTGTGCTCAAGATTTATTGAAATTGCCATTACGTTTGAAAATTGTGTTGATGTATTGAATTTAGCTGAACTGTACAATCTTTCTGCAACATGCATGAAAGCTAGACAGTACATGTTGGAAAATTTTGAAATTGTGGCTGCATCTGAACAATATTTCAAATTAACTCCCATTCAACTGGCTTCCATGTTAGCTGAAAATAAACTCTGTGTGGAATCAGAGTTCAAATTATTTCAACTAGTTTTGTCCTGGATAAAGCATGACTTGAATTCAAGACGTGAAAATATCGCCCTTCTGATGAAAAATATCAGAATTCCTCTGTTGTCTGGTGAGGAACTGGTAGAAAAAGTCAGTAGAGAAGAATTAATGAAGACTAGTCAAGAATGTGTGGATTTGATCACCGAAGCCAAAGATTATCATATAGTTGTATGTAAACAACCATTGCTTCAAAATACTCGAACTCAAGTCCGTTCAGAGAGGAGAAGTCTCATTATGTGTCATGGCCACAGTGTTGAAACTTATACTTTTAAAACAAAGAAACTTGGGTATCTGAAAGAATCCCCTGTTCCACTCTACAACCCTGCAGTGGTTGTAGTTGACAATTTTATGTATGTGTGTGGTGGAAAATATGACAATAACGAAAATAATGAAATAGCCACTGCCAGATGCTTCAGATATGATCCGCGATTCGATTCATGGTATGAAACAGCTCCTATGAATGAATCTCGTAAGGATTTTGTGATGGTTGCAATGGATGGATATCTATACTCTATAGCTGGGCAGGATGAGAATATGGTAATGTGTACAGTAGAGAGATATAATATAGTCACAAATGATTGGGATATGAGAGCTTCTATTAATCATTCTGTGTATGGCCACGCTGGAGCTGTTTGTAATGGTCTGATATTTATCTCTGGGGGTCAGAGGTTCTCGGGTTGTTGTAAAGATGTGTTGTGTTATACTCCCTCCACAGATTCGTGGGAAGTGAAAGCCCCGTTATTAAATGCACGATGTACCCATGTTATGGCATGTGTTCAAGATCATCTGTACGTATTTGGAGGCAATATTGAAGATAATTATGGATTCCCAGTTCCCATTATTGCTATAGAGATTTATCATCCAGAGACTGACCAATGGACATTGTGTGCAAGAACTTTAAACATTAGAGAAGCAGGTGCTTGTGTAATGGATGACAGGATCTATATAGTGGGTGGGATCAATGGTGAACACTATTATTCTGACTTACTGGAAGAATATGACTACAGAACTGATACTCTTAGTGCAGAAGAGAAATTTCCAACTAGAATATTCGGAAGAGCATGTTGCATCTTAACACTGCCCCAATATGTTTGTTAACATTTGATTTTGAATGAAAGACTTAATTAGCTTCATTCAATAATTTTACAGCAGCTTGACAATCTTTTCAACTTTTCAAAATGAAGTTTTCGCTGTCCATTGCAATTGGCAGTGACAAACTAAAGTGAGAGTCTGTTGGTATATTTGAAATAGTCTCAAAGCATTTCGAAAACTGAACATTATTGTGAAACAAAAAATGAAATTCAGGCGATTTCCTTAAATAGTTTTATAAAAAAAAAACTTTCAAAACTTTTGAAAACAAGGGATTTTCCCTCTATGATCCTTAATGAAAAGATAAGGATACCTTTAACAAAAATTGATAACTTAAACATGTAGCAAAGAGAAACATGTTTTTTAACAATTCTTGTCATTTCGATGCTGGTGCATTCTTTCCCTTTTAAGGAAGAAATGTGCATTAATTTTGTTTATTTTAGGGGTTATTTATTTTGCTAAGAACATTTATTATTCAATATTTGTTAAGTTTATATCACAAGGTTGTTGATTTGTATAAATTATAAAATATTTCAAAAAAAATATCATTGCTTTATTTTGATATTAAATATTTTCATTATTAAATACTTCTTATCTATTAAGATCAATTTGTCTTGCAATCGAGTTATTTTAGGAGGTTCCGCTTGACTGTTGTAATAAGTTCATAATGTTCAACTCTCACACATCAATCATAGAGTAATATCTGAATTACTTGTCAGCTCTATCCAACAACATAATTTGAAAAATACTAGTCCTGATGACTTACCATTGTAAGAATCATTCATTGAATCTTCCACCTATGAAGAACTTGCAGCAGAAGATCTGCACACATTCATCTACTCATACTGTGGCTAGTTGAAAAACCATCTTCATGGTCAGCTGTCAGCCTATAACCAAACCTAGCTTCAGTTTTGATTCTTGAAAAAGTGACAATGCAATCTCCATGAACAAGTGTTGATGCTTTAAAGGAATGAAGAGAAATAATCCAGGTATGATTTGAAATTTTTGAGTATTTATCAAATTATTATACATTCTACACAAGAAAATATCAATATTATTCCTAATAATCTTGAATTCTCAACTTTCAATGTTTGTTTTGTTGAATTGTAGGGAAACTAATTGTCATACTTTAATTCTGAAAGATGCTATGGAATTGAGCTCTTGTCAGTATATAACTGATACAACATACTTTTGCGAGAATGATAATTTAATAAATCTGAAAAAAAATAATTTGAAAGTTTGTGAAATCGCCTCGTTAGGGCCCCATACAACTAGAACGAACAATTATCAATTGATATGTATTAATGCTGAATTTCATGACCTGAAAGCCACGTGCAGATTTCTATCGATGTTTTGATTGGTTACTAATAATGGTAATAAAGATTATGAATTAACTGTTGTTTTTCTTGTATCCAGCCATTTTTTAGGGCAAACATAGACTTTTCAGATACTCAGCAGAATATAATTCACAGAAGATTAGGTGTATCAGAAAAGTGTAGGTGTATCGCAAAAAGCGAAGGTGTATCACGAAAAGTGTAGGTGTATCGGATAATAACCTACTCTAAAGATCAAAGGATCGAGAAAAAGTATGGGTATAAATACTTATATCTATAACATTTGTTCAAATGAAGGACTTTTTTTCATGATGGATTTAGCCAATTTCAACTTTTCTTTTCAGGTTATTAAATAGTGACTGGATTTTTTGCTCATATTTGATAACAAAACATATTTCAACTCAGCAGGAATAAAATACAGAACTGTTGATATGTCCAGTTAGGTAAGTTGAATTCGTTTTTCAACCAATCAGAATTCTTAATACTGTACATTTGAGTACGTATCTTAAAGTTGCAATTTTTTTGACAACAGGCCTCAGCTGGGCTCCATGATACAAATTGGTGGTATAATTGTGATAAGATATGTTAAGGGAAGTCTGAAGGTTTGTGAGGGAAAGATAAGAGGTAATAAACACAGGTGTTTTCAAACATTTCATTCTGGTTAATTTAAAATATCAGCGTTATCTTACCATCTTTCACTTTTTATACATTTCTATTAACTTCTTAGATACATTTAATTGTTTTAAATTAACGCTAGAGTTTTATTATGTGTGACGAATTCAGTATTTTTGTATTTTGCTGTAAGCAAAGGTATATGAGTTCTCTATGTCTAGCCCTTGCTCCTGTAACTAATTTGTTTATGCACCTAAACATGCACAAAAGGCAAAAAAATTGAAAAATTTTGGTTCCAGATTTAATGGAAGATAAGCAGTCAAAGCTCTGGATCTTTGAAAACTGAGATCTTGAAATAATCATTTGAAAATTTATTACAAAATATAAAAGTATCATTTTTGATTGACAAAATGAAGTTTTAGTCTGAATGAACTGTCCTAAACTGTGCAGTTAGTAGCCCCTCCCACTGACATGTCAATCAAATTTAGTATAGAATATGATATTAATTGTACTGTACCTTGTTAAAAAGACAAGGGGAGGGAATCTGACAGGTGTAATGATAACAATCAATCTATTGTTCTTACTCCCTTTACACCTGTCATTGTCACAGTTAACATGACATCTCACCTTTGACCTGAGTTACCTCTGACCCCATAAGGTCAACTGGCTGGAATTATATTTTTATGGTATCAGATGAAATTGAATTGATTAGAAACACAATTTCTGAAAATTACTTACAAGTCTTTGCCCGTTCTAATTACAGTAGCTAAGTATCTTAGCATTGAGCATATGGAATATAAACAGAGCATTTGATTGGTCGAATTTTAAATGATCCTGAACATCAGATGTATAACAATTTCATCAGATCATGGATTGTATGTTAAGATATGGCAAAAAAAATACTAAACAATGCATTCAAATTTGCAGATTCAGATGTTTAAATGTAACATTTTTTCGTTCATACATAAATGCCAATTTTAAAGGATAGTATGCCCCAATGGTAAATCCATTACGTTTGATAATTATTTTGGCAATTTGTTAGTCTGTGCTTGACAGTCCAAAACATCAAAGAATCCAAAATTCTACTTCATTGACAAAAATTACTGGCTAATTTGATGACAGTTTCACATCTGTAATTCGTTCGTTCGATCGTTTTTCTGACTCTTTGATTGATAGGAGAACAATCAGTAAAATCAAATCAACATTAGTCTGACAATCTAACAACAAAACATCAGGACATAACCTCAAAATACTGAGTTAGAAAGTTCACTAATCTTAACAAGGTAATTTAACATGAATTACATTTAAAAACATGAGCTGGTACACATTTCATTTTTCAAATGAGTTAAAAATGGGTTCCCTTATTTTCATTTAGGAAATTGGAAATACTAAAACTTAAAAATACTTTAAACTGATGGAAATATAAAACCTTTCTGAAATATTTGATCGAATGAAAGCAGATTTTGAGAAATTTAGATGTATTTAGAGATATTTTCCAGCTGATATTTTAACCCCCCTCCCCCTCATCCTCATCCTCACTGACCCCCTTCCCCGTTCCATCTTTCATATTGTACTGGTTGTACATACTTGTACTGAGAGTACAAAGTTCACCAATCCTCATAAGATAATTCAAAAATGTATCAGATAAACAAACATGATTAATAATATTCTAAATGTTAATTTAAAATGGTTTAATTTTGACATGGCACTAGTTAATACAACTATTTTAAGTTTAGTCTGATAATTATAAGATATGAAAATGATATAGCCCTACCCCATTTCCTTACCCTGTAATTAAAGTTTTCAATTCAATGATAACTATCTAAAAGGTTAACTGTTTAAATTTTGAAGATTAGTTTTTAAATACTTTTATATAGTTGATTCTTTTGATCCTCTTGAACCCCCTATTTTAAATTAAAGGGGCACTCCCAATAGGAAATTGACTGAATTTGAACTTAATGTGTGAAATATGACAATCCAATTTTCTAAAAGGCTGCATCAATAGCTACATTTTAACTCTTCCTTAAGTCAATGAAAAATATTTCTGAATTTTTTTTTTGTAAATTGAGGCGTTTTTGATGTATTTCATTAAGTTTAAAAGGGAGTCACACATATTAAAACTCATTTAGTTTGAATAAAAACTTTTAACTATGTAGAGTATCTGTGTACTTCAAATAATTATCTAAATTTAAACATTGTAAAATTAAATAAATAAATTTACAATTTGAAATTCAGTTTATTTTGTATATAGTTTAATGTCTAGTTAGGATTTCTTGAAAATGTCTCATTAAGATTTTGTATAAATGAAATTACCGAAGTGGAGGGAAATAAATATGTTAAAATGTATTTTGTTAATGAGAATAATGTCAGACATGAAGAAAAAATGTAAAAAGTCATGTAAAATTGTAGTAAAAAATACATCGAGATGTCATAGTACTGTAATTAGTGACTCAGACTTAAAAACCTTGATTTGACATCTTGAGTTTATTGTCTTGTATCATTCAGTCAGAAATTAACACTCGATGTAACTTGGAATAAAATATATTACCTTACTGTTCTCAATTGTTTTTCTTATGTCTTATAAGTCCAGTTGTTTGCAAAAGGGCATAATGTCATTGAGGCTTATAGATTGCATGTTTAAAGGGATTGTAAAGAGGATTTTCTAAATTTTTTTATGTGTATCGGGGACACTGATAGCATCAATTTGCATCATTCCAATTTTCATTCCGACGTCATAAAACGCATTAGTTTTAGTGGAATTGCAAGAACCGCAGACGTTGAAATGAAAAATGGAATGGTGCAAATTGATGCTATCAGTGTCCCCGATACACATAAAATGTGCAGAAAACCTCTTTACAATTCCTTAAAGACCTCTTGACACAAGGTAATCAAGAAAAGTAAACCATTGCCACCGTCTAAGCAAAATTTTCTTCATTGTACACTTATGGTGTATGATTTTCTCTTCTGTCAAGCAGGAGTGAAAAGACTCCATATCATTTATATATAAATATACAGAAATGTGATTGAATTGTAGAAACGTCTCAAATGGGATTTCTGAAGATT